TAATAAAAACCGCAAATGCAATTTTATCGCAATGCGTTGCAGCACGTTGAGTGTCAGATTCGTTACGTAACTTCACCGAGGTAATTTCAATCACGTTTTCCTCGCATTTCATGATTCGGGCCTGCAAATGAACACGTAGCGACAACGTTGGTGCTCCTTGTATGGAAAATACACTCGTCGGTGGTCTACCATTGTCTCGATTTCTCGTGTCAGTGCCACTTTCGTAGTCGATTCGATCGTTTCTGTCGATTAAATCCTCCCACGAATTGTGGGTATGGCAGAAGGGCCCTACGGGAACGGAGGCAAGGCCCATCCAACATTTGCGAGCCGTGCCTCCCGCTTTCGATGATAATTATATCCTTTTATTCTACCGGGGTAATTACAAACGTTTACCGTAGGGCTCTTTCGAACGGGCCGCGTTAAAACTCGACCATGCGAAACTTGTGCGGATTAAACATAATCGACATCGCTGTCGTGCGAAAAACGCTAAAGAATCTATCCACGACGAGAAGATCGAGGTTTTTCTATTAAACTTTAAGTAAGTAAGTGATTTAAAGATATACAAATTGATAGATGGAATGCTCAGAAGATTCTAAAAAAATTGTAATTTTAAAACAATAAATTTAACTAAACAAGACAAATAAGAATATAGCGTGTATTAATAAAGTGCATGGAAAGAAGCTTTGCTGAAGAATCTAAAAATTTAGCTAGATACAAATAGATCTGAAAATAATTTTCTTGGACCATCAAAATAATTTTGTAGGAATCACAAGCATAATGAACAATGCTGCAATATATTTTGATATTCTATTAGCAAGCAATTTTGATGTTCAATTTTGATTCTATTTAATTATTTTCATCCAATAAAATTATTTTCAGATCTATTTGGCTAAATTTTTAAATTCTTTAACAAAAATTGCTCTTTCCATGCAAATATTATTAACCACACTGTCTTCTAATTTACTAATTTTTTTTTAAAGTGTTAAAGTTTTTTTTAAAGTTTCTGAAAGTCCATGTTAAGATTTATAATCTTGAGGTTTAATTTTAGTTATATTTTTATTAATATATTAAGTTTAATTTTAATTTATACCTTAATATGAAATAGAGAACTATAAAACTAATGAATTTTAAGACTTATGATCATCTGGACGATACTTTTTGTTTTTCTTTTCCAGAACAGGGTTTTAAACTATATCTGAAGTGCTGTGACTATATATATCCACTCAAAGGTTAGGCCACTTCGTGTTGTAATATCAATTAGCAACATAAGCATAAATCTCTATGGGATTAATAAAAACGCGAAGGAAAGCTGATTAGAAGATGTCAGAGTAAACTCGTTATCCTGTCCCGTTCCACCATGTTACGATCATGTAATTCATATTTCTATCAAATGTACTTTGAATATAGTGAAGTAGCTAGTAGTATACGAGCTGAGCGGAAGCGAAAAGCTATTTCACCTCAACTATCGACAGGATATTGAAAGCGTGTCCAAGGGAAGCATAAATGATCGATTTAATCTTTATAGACAAAGAGTGACACTTACACAACGTGGCATTGACACAATCGTGATTGCAAAACAAACTGATCCACGAGAGCAGAGTGTGATGTTAAATAAATTTCGCCTGGCGCGGCGTTTATACGAGACTCCGAAGAGTTCTACGGCGATACAAATTAGATAGTAATCTCGCATTACGCCATTGGCGTAAGCGAGTACGTAGCCACTACCTTCATGTCAAAGGTTCTCGAAAGAACAAGAAGAAGAAAGAGCTACGTAACAACAGCAGAAAGCGAAGAAAGGGAAGGCAAAAAAAGCGAATGCAATAAAAGGCTGAAGGAATCTCCTATTATATCTCCCGTCGTCTTGGAATGCTTGCTAGAACGTGCGTGACTCGCCACCTGCTCGCTATTGGGAATTCCATCAGGCAGGAAGAAATGGAGAACTACGCGAGAAGAAAACGGCCCGTTCGAGGTATCATCGAAACTACGCCGCAGCCTTCGTTTGTCCGCCGATGTGATTGAACTTACTCGATCACCAGTCCCTCCTTTCGTCGCGTCATCTTCGTTGACTAGCTGCCCGTTTGATGGCAATCGAAATGGATGGGGCTCAACGGGATCTTCTTTTTCTGCGTCTTGAGAAGTGATAGTGCGCAAGGTTGGCGCTTGTACGTCAAACTCGCGGCCACTACGGTCCCGTGCCGTTCCATTGAATCGTATCTGTCAATGGGGAACAATATGGTGGCGAGAAAGGCCGAGGAGCAAGAGGACCCTGTATGCCGAGCAGAAGAGGGAAGAGAGAGACAGAGAGAGATAGAGAGAGATGAAGGGAGAAAAGCTGAGCCACCGAACGCACGCCTCGGCAGCCTCGACTAAGTTATGCAGATTGTTCCGAACAGTTGGACTTTAATGTCGGCATAAATCCTTTGCCACTTAACTTTATACGTGGAGTAGAATGCATTCCTATCCTCTCGGCGCGGTTGGACTCCTCTCTTCTACTCTCTCTTACTAACTTCTCGACTCGTCTCTTTTTTCTTTATTCCAGATACTGAATTCTTTTTGCAAACTAGAATCTAATTCAAATGTGTCATCTTTCGAATTTAAAATGTGTCAAGATTTTGTGTTGAAAATGTTGGCCTCGATTGTGCCTATTTACAGAACACAGTTGCGTTTCTTAAATACAATACCTACAATTCACATATATTTGAAAATAATTAAAAACGTAATTTAGAGTATAAAGTTTCATTAGAAATGTTTCGAAGTGTTTGATCGATCAAAGTTAGAAGAAAAAATTTTATTAATTCATTAATCAAAGAATGCTTCAGAACATTTGTATCATCACGGTTTAATAAGACAGGTGTAACATTACCATGGCTGAGTAGGAAAGTGAATTTGGGCCTAAATTAAATTAGCCATTCCAGTTTACTACTGCTATTATACACAGGAAGATGTATTTGGGCCCAAATTTGATTGGTTGTTTCCAGTATTGCTATCACCATTATGCGCAAAGTTATACCTGTCTTATCACGTCTATTATTAATCATAAAACTTTTAGTGAATCTCACACTGAAGAATAAATTTCATTCTTAAAGATTGAAAACTGAGCCACTCTTTTTCAAGATTGGCGCAATTTTCACTCTTCAGAATTAAATTCCACTTCAAAGATTTTAATTTTAATTTTATATCATTTCTTTCGCAATTTTTTAAATTGTTATTACAATAAATTATTGAATAAAATTCAATAGATATATTGAATAAAATTCAATAGAATACAAAATCAGAACATTGTAGTCTAGCTGGTTGATGTTTATTGATAATTTATTAATATGATACAATTATGAAATGGATTCAAACGTTTCAACCATCAAATAAATACTCTTTTCAATGAATAAAATAATAGATAAATAAATGCTTAAATCATAAGCTTGTTTTTTATTTTTTATCATTCAATTCCTGATAATATTTACAGTAGCTTTTGCTGATTATTGCTGAAGAAGCAATAATTTCAGTAGTATTAACACAATAATACAGCAACGCAATAAAAGTAAATATTTCAATTATTCATTTAATTTTTATTTTTCTCCCCGCACAGCATGCAGCCTTCACATCTCTTCCTCCCGTTATACGTGGGCAACCTTGAGAGAAATGAACCATCATAAAACCCATTGGATTTCGAGAGGGAGCTAGACATTCACGAGTCAATGACCAAGACGAAACTCGAGCTATCGCTATCGCGATGATACCCGGTGAAATCCGAGATTGTATTTGTTGACAGGATTATCATATAGTATGATACCGCGATGCTACTGTCGTCGACGATCAGTTATCCTAACGAGCTCATCTCCATTCCATGTTGTAACGCAATGTGACCGTTTTTGATCGCAAATAGAGCTACGGGATGACGAGCAATTCACGTTGCCGCAAAGCGGGAATAACAATTTGCGATTGCGGCGTCAGTTTGTCTGGCTCGCGAATGGATACTACTTGACACTTGATATCGTTGAGTGCCCTAAGAAACCACTCGCATATATCGTTACTCGTAATGCTATATAGTGAAATCTGATACACAGAAAAGAGATTAAACATTCAAATGCTTAGTCGATACAGAATGATAACTTATTTAGGCTGTAACTTTATCGTTGATAAAAAATATCAGTCATCTTATATGATTGATGATATTTTAATGATTAGCTTGAATAAAATAAAATGTAATTAATTAATTAGTTATTGTCATGCACAAATATTATTAAATATTTTTGCATAGCTGTACTATTTTAATAGATTAGATTCTTATCGTCAGATAAAAATAGGAAAAAATACAAATAACTACATAAATTATGTAACATTACTGTATTGCATAGAAATTTAGTAATTAAGAGAAAAACATCCGAATAATAATGAATTAATATTCCATTATTGTTTAGCTAATCATCTAAATATTTATTTTT